AGTTAAAATGAAGACGAAAAGAAATAAGTATGAATGTACAGCCTGAAACTCTTACAAATGTAAAAAAATATATATATATAGTATATATATATTTTTTTAAATATATTTCTGTATGTATATATAATAATTAAATAACAAATAATTAAAAATATTATTAAAAATAATTAGAATTTATAGGTACAATTTAAATATATATAATATATACATTAATATTGTATCTTTTTCATTACTTTTTGTTCATTCTTAATTTATTTTATATATGTATATATATCATCTAATAAACAATAATTAAAAAATATTTAATTATTTAAATAAGTTATATATATATATTATTATTAATTTATTTTATTTGTATTGTAATTTATTAATTTGTATTATATATGTTTGTGTGTGTGTGTGTGTGTGTGTGTGTGTGTGTATCTATATATATAACTTGCATAACTAAAATTACTTTTTGTTACTATTTTTTTTATAATTATAAATAATTACAATTTGATTATATATCAACATGGTGCAAACAGAGGTAATAGCTGTAGCCAATCAAACGCTGCCTCTCTGTCCAGCCCCGCCCACTCAAACATAAGATAGAACTCCATCTAAACATCTACTTCTTGACATAAATCTTCAATATAGATGAAAGAAACAAGCACTCATGTATGATGGTATAGCCTGAGACTTTATCTGACCGTCAGCTTCGGTCAAGGACTGTGACGTCACATCAAGAGCAAAGATTTTTTGAAGAGCGACGACCCAAGGCATATTTAAAATGTCACTTCATGAATGATCTACGTCAAGCTGTCACACCGCCATCTGCGATTGAGAGATGATGGAGAGATGACCGGTCCACATGTGAACACACAGGACAGAGACATCGAGGAGAAAGATTCAGACATTTACTGAAAACACTGTCAATGAAGTCGTGATCCATCTGAATCAGGGTATCTTCCGTCCAATCAATTTTTGTTTTAATATTGAAATCTGAAAAATGAAAAACGGCACATATTTCGTTTTTCAATTATTCAAACAAAACGAAAAATCAAGAATCCGGCTTAATTTTTCGTTTTTACATTCAGGGATAGAAAACGAATAAACAACTTGAATATTCGATCTCTACATGTGGGCGGGAATGAAACGCCCCTCTCTGCTAATTGGTCAACCAAACATTACAACATAATAATAGTCCTAAAAAAAACCTTAATAATAGTCCTCCGCTTCTATTGATTCTTAACATGTTTATTTCTACTACATTTGATCTCTTCATCAAACAGCCAGATTAATGAATGGCTTGACACAAACCATACTGAAGCAGAGCCTTTTGGCCCTAGGCATGCCTGTTTTATTATAGTTATCCACCCATTAAAATCTGTGCGGCAAAGCTGTGTAACACACTGCAGCACGGGGAGAATGTATTGTAGTGAAGCACAGACCACTATCAATTTATGTGAACATACAGTCATAACTTTTGTTTTAGACAATAAGCTGCATTTTAGACAAAGGAGGAACTTAAATAATAATTGATACAAATTGATTTACAAACATTAGATTTTCTAACAGGACTAACTATTAATTGGTTTTATTAATTGGAAATAAATAAAACCTAAAACGGAACTAGTAAAACCTAAATAGTAATATTTAAAAAGAACAAAAACAAATAAAAATGACAAAGCACCTGGGCAAAATTACTAAAAATTAAAGTAAAAAAAAAAAATGGAAATGGAAACTGAAAATATAAAATAATGTAACAACAAAATATATTGAAACAAAAAACTGTCTGTAGATTTTGAAACTGTCATATTAACTGGAACTAAAATGCGGATCAGCTGAATAATCAGCCTGTCAATCAATCACCACTTCAACTGATATCAGTGAGCTGTGATTGATATGGATGTATTGATCTGTCATTGACATGTTGATTTTTCAGGAGCAGTATGTGTTTATCCATGATGCCATATTGGAGGCGTGTCTTTGTGGCGACACCACGATCCCAGCCAATCAGCTTCGCTCAGTGTATTACGACATGAACCGCTTGGACCCGCAAACCAACTCCAGCCAGATCAAAGAGGAGTTCAGAGTAAGTCTGACTCAATATTTATTTAAAAAAAAAATCCATTACATTACATTTTATATTAATACTGTAATACTATAAACGTATTAAAATAAATCAATAGAAATATAGTTAGGTAAGTTTGTGTATTAATTTCAATTGTGTTCTCCTTTGACAGACGTTAAACATGGTGACGCCCACGTTACGGGTGGAGGACTGTAGCATTGCACTGCTGCCGCGGAACCATGAGAAAAACCGCTGTATGGACGTGCTACCGCCCGACCGCTGCCTGCCCTTCCTCATCACCATTGACGGAGAGAGCAGCAACTACATCAACGCCGCGCTCATGGATGTACGGCAGCTCACATACACCTCAGCTCTTAACCTAGCGACCGCTACCTGCAGCTCTTAACCTAGTGACCTTTACCTGCAGCTCTTAACCTAGTGACCTTTACCTGCAGCTCTTAAGCTAGTGACCATTACCTCAGCTCGTAACCTACTGACCATTACTAGTGACCGTTACCTTCAGCTGTTAACCTAGTGACCGTTACCCGCCACTCTTAACCTAGTGATTGTTACCTGCCGCTCTTAACCTAGTGATGTTACCTCAGCTCGTAACCTACTGACCATTACTAGTGACCGTTACCTCAGCTCTAAACCTAGTGACTGTGACCTGCCGCTCTTAACCTAGTGACAGTTACCTCAGCTCTAAACCTAGTTACCGTTACCTCAGCTCTAAACCTAGTGACCGTTACCTCAGCTCTAAACCTAGTAACTGTTACCTGCCACTCTTAACCTAGTGACCGTTACCTCAGCTCTAAACCTAGTAACTGTTACCTGCCACTCTTAACCTAGTGACCGTTACCTCAGCTCTAACCCTAGTGACCGTTACCTCAGCTCTAACCCTAGTGACCGTTACCTCAGCTCTAACCCTAGTGACCGTTACCTCAGCTCTAACCCTAGTGACCGTTACCTCAGCTCTAACCCTAGTGACCGTTACCTCAGCTCTAACCCTAGTGACCGTTACCTCAGCTCTAACCCTAGTGACCGTTACCTCAGCTCTAACCCTAGTGACCGTTACCTCAGCTCTAACCCTAGTGACCGTTACCTCAGCTCTAACCCTAGTGACCGTTACCTCAGCTCTAACCCTAGTGACCGTTACCTCAGCTCTAACCCTAGTGACCGTTACCTCAGCTCTAACCCTAGTGACCGTTACCTCAGCTCTAACCCTAGTGACCGTTACCTCAGCTCTAACCCTAGTGACCGTTACCTCAGCTCTAACCCTAGTGACCGTTACCTCAGCTCTAACCCTAGTGACCGTTACCTCAGCTCTAACCCTAGTGACCGTTACCTCAGCTCTAACCCTAGTGACCGTTACCTCAGCTCTAACCCTAGTGACCGTTACCTCAGCTCTAACCCTAGTGACCGTTACCTCAGCTCTAACCCTAGTGACCGTTACCTCAGCTCTAACCCTAGTGACCGTTACCTCAGCTCTAACCCTAGTGACCGTTACCTCAGCTCTAACCCTAGTGACCGTTACCTCAGCTCTAACCCTAGTGACCGTTACCTCAGCTCTAACCCTAGTGACCGTTACCTCAGCTCTAACCCTAGTGACCGTTACCTCAGCTCTAACCCTAGTGACCGTTACCTCAGCTCTAACCCTAGTGACCGTTACCTCAGCTCTAACCCTAGTGACCGTTACCTCAGCTCTAACCCTAGTGACCGTTACCTCAGCTCTAACCCTAGTGACCGTTACCTCAGCTCTAACCCTAGTGACCGTTACCTCAGCTCTAACCCTAGTGACCGTTACCTCAGCTCTAACCCTAGTGACCGTTACCTCAGCTCTAACCCTAGTGACCGTTACCTCAGCTCTAACCCTAGTGACCGTTACCTCAGCTCTAACCCTAGTGACCGTTACCTCAGCTCTAAACCTAGTGACTGTTACCTGCCGCTCTTAACCTAGTGACCGTTACCTGCCGCTCTTAACCTAGTTACCGTTACCTGCCACTCTAAACCTAGTGACTGTTACCTGCCGCTCTTAACCTAGTTACCGTTACCTCACCTCTAAACCTAATGACTGTTACCTCAGCTCTCAACCTAGAGACTGTTCCTGCCGCTCTTAACCTAGTGACCGTTACCTCAGCTCTAAACCTAGTGACCGTTACCTCAGCTCGTAACCTACTGACCATTACTAGTGACCGTTACCTTCAGCTCTAAACTTAGTGACTGTTACCTGCCGCTCTTAACCTAGTTACCGTTACCTGCCGCTCTTAACCTAGTGACCGTTACCTCAGCTCTAAACCTAGTGACCGTTACCTCAGCTCTAAACCTAGTGACCGTTACCTCAGCTCTAAACCTAGTGACCGTTACCTCAGCTCTAAACCTAGTGACCGTTACCTCAGCTCTAAACCTAGTGACCGTTACCTCAGCTCTAAACCTAGTGACCGTTACCTCAGCTCGTAACCTACTAAAGGACAGCGATGTGTCTGATAGATGTGAATCACTGCACACGCAATTATGTGCTCAAAAACAGATGGAATTGATTTCATTGTCGGAAAAATAGCTAAAAATGTCGGAAAAACACAAAAAATGCAGTAACACAATTGACTGGGATTTGTTTGTCCAAAAATAAATAAGTAAAGTATTTTTTTTACTGTACACATTTATGATTTAATTATTAATAAGTTATAGTTTTTTTAAATTTTTTGTTTTATATTTTTGATTTAATTACGTTTTTATTTCAGTTGTTTTTATTTTAAAATGATTTATTTAAATTTTATATATTTATGATTTAATTAATTATTATACATTTTTAGGATTTCATTTAATTATTACTTTTTAATTAAATCATACATGTTTTATTTAAATAATATTTATTTTAGAATGATTTATTCTTATTTTACAGTATTTAACTATTAACAAGTGTTTTGTTTTGATAGATTTTTTTATTATTTATTTTAAATTTACATTTTAATATAATTAATCATTAGTAAGTGTTTTATATGGATTATTTTTAATTTTTAAATTTTTTAGTTTTATTTCACATTTCTATGATTTAATTAATTGTTATGCATTTGTATCATCTAATTCAGTATTAATAAATGTTTTATTTACAACTGTACAACTTATTATTTATTAATAAGTGTTTTGTTTTGATATATAAAATATTATCATTAAAATAATATTTTACTTTTTCATTTTTACTTTTGCTTTAATTCGTTATTGTACATTTTTATGATTTTGTTTTGTTTTTATTTTAAAATAATTAATTTAAAATTTCTACATTTATGATTTAACTAATTAAGTACATCTGTCTCTATAATAATTGCTCGTTTTGTGCGTCTGAAGCGACGGTGTCTCTGATGGATGTGAACCGCAGCACACACGATTATGTGCTTGTTGAAAATAATTCAAAAACAGATGGAATTGATTCATTTCATTGTCAGGAAAATAGCTAAAAGCGATCCATAACAGTGAATGAAGTAAAAAACGCAGTAACACGATTGACTGGGACGGGTTTGTTTGTAAAACACGCGACAGTGCATTTGTTTTCATTACAGTAAATGGAAGCGCCGGCGGCGGTAATAAAGCACGCAGCTCAACGCTAAACTTCTCCACACTATTAGTCAAGCAGACAGTCAGACGGAAATAAGATGTGTTCCTCTCTTCATCTTCATCTTCACAGAGCTACAAGCAGCCGTCTGCGTTCATCGTTACCCAGCATCCTCTGCCCAACACCGTCAAAGACTTCTGGAGGCTGGCGCTGGACTATCACTGCACGTCTATAGTGATGCTGAACGACGTGGATCCCGCGCAGGTGAGACACACACACACACACACACCTGAACACGGCCGTCAGGATCAAAGACATGCAACACGGCACAGACTCATGCAGCAGATGCACGTCACTGCAGTCGTGCGTCTGTCACACATGCACTGCTCTGACATGAAGTTATCCAGGGATTCCCAAGCATTTTTGTCAGTCGAACAAACGCTTGGGCTAAAAGTCAATAATTTAAATTTAACAAGACATTCACGTGTTCATGGTTTTCTGATATCAGTTCATTGCCATGACATGCAGGTAAAGAAATAAAATATAAACAGAGTTTATTTTGATTGTTTTTCATTTTAAATTATTTTTATTTTATGATTTAATTAATTATTAATAAGTTATTTTTTTATTGTTTTTAATTTATTTTTATTTTACAATTTTATGATTTCATTATTAAGAAGTGTTTTATTTTGATTATTTATATTTTTTGTATTTTTAAATTATTTTATTTTTATTGTTCATTTTTACGATTTTAGTTAGTGTTGTTTTTCTATTGTTTTTATTTTAAAACTATTTTTATTTTACATTTTTATGAGTTAATTCATTATGCATTTTTATGATTTAATTCATGTTAATAAATGTTTTATTTTAATTGTTTTTATTTTAACATTATTTTAATTTGACATTTTTATGAATTAATTATAAGTTTTTCTTTTTAAATTATTTATTTTTATTTCACTTTTTATGAATTAATTCATTATTATACAATTTTAAGATTTAATTCATTATTAATAAATGCTTTATTTCGATTACTTTTTATTTTAACATAATTTATTTACATTTTATGATTTCATTAATTATAAGTAATTTATTTATTTATTTATTAAAATGTATTTTACATTATGATTTATTTATTTATTAACTTTCCATTAAATGACAAATCCCAGTTTGGGAACACTGGCATAAAGCATCACTCTTGAGAAATCAGACAATATAGTGACATGTATTCGTGTAAATGCACATGATATAGTCAAAATGAACATATTATTCAGATCAGTAATTAAAAAGTTGCATGCTTAAAGTGTTGAGTTTGATAAAAGTAAATTGCTGTTTGGCTACTAGTAAACATTATCCAATCATCTGTGATGGAAAGTCATTTCAGATGAAAGATTATTAAGACAGTTAGTTATTTAGAATTTTACTGACAAATCATTCACAATAAGACCAGGATAATGAACTAATTTGCTTTTCATGTTGACTTTTTAACACTTTATACCAATCAAATTAATTGTGAGGTTAGATGTTCTGTGCTGGTCAGTTGCTGGTCTAGGCTGGTTTATACTGGTCAGTTGCTGGTCTAGGCTGGTTTATACTGGTCAGTTGCTGGTCTAGGCTGGTTTATTCTGGTCAGTTGCTGGTCTAGGCTGGTTTATACTGGTCAGTTGCTGGTCTAGGCTGGTTTATTCTGGTCAGTTGCTGGTCTAGGCTGGTTTATACTGGTCAGTTGCTGGTCTAGGTTTGTTTATACTGGTCAGTTGCTGGTCTAGGTTTGTTTATACTGGTCAGTTGCTGGTCTAGGTTTGTTTATACTGGTCAGTTGCTGGTCTAGGTTTGTTTATACTGGTCAGTTGCTGGTCTAGGCTGGTTTATACTGGT